ACACTTCAACATCTTTTTGAACATTAGTTAATGTCTCTACAAGATCATCATATGTCCATGGAGTTAAAATATTAAATCTCAGTGAGCTCTTTCTTCCCCCCAGCCTCTTGCGTGATCCATGCCCAACATCTCCTTCCATTTAGAAATGCTAATAATGTTGACAGCAGACCTGTTTAAAGTACAGCAGGCGTGAACCTGGTGAGCATTTTCTACACTGATCTTGTTGGCCAGAGGACTGTCCTAGGATATAAGCGAGTAGAGGACTACTATGCCCTTTTCTTTTTGCAATATATACAATTGAGAGCTGAATAGGAAGTATTTTGGTTTTAGGTTTTCCCTATGCCAGAGTTCAGGATACCCGATCACCTCTGACCCATTATCATCCTTGTGATACAGAACAGATGTCCAGCACATCATGAACAACAGCAGGGAGAGGGAAGTCTGGCTTATCCTTCCTTTAGTAACTTTAAAATGCTAACTGGAAAAAAAAGACACCTTCTGTTCAAAATCCACATGCAACTTCCATTAGCCCCACAAAGCTGTCCCTCTATTTTATAAGAATTTCCCATTTGTTATTAAAGAGTAGGAACATGGTAATTTCAATTATTCCTTGCTTTCATTTTCAATGACACAAAAAAAAAAAAAAGTGAGGGGAAGGCACTTGTTTCTATAAAACAGCTTCTGAAATAGAAAAAAATATGCCTTTTATGCTGGAATAGAGCAGGAGACCTATGGAAAGAATAAGGTTCTGCTTATCTGTTTTAATTGCACAGAAGAGGAGCTGCCAATAGCATATACTACTTACAGAGTCATTTAAGGAACTTTGGTATCTGCCCACCTAAATGCAACATATTTCCCTCAGGAAACAGAGAAGAGGTTTTATTGTGCTCTGCTTTTCCTTCTTTCAGTAGCTTCTGAAAATTATGTATGCATGGGTATTTTCAGTTTAATCATATTTTATAATTTTTAACAATTACTTTAAAACTCAAATTCAGTGTAATCAGCCCATCTGTTAGCAATGGTTATAAAATTATGTTGAAGATTAAAAATCTGATGCAGTGTCAGTATGTCCTAGCATAATTAAGCTTGTTTTATGATGAATGACTAGGGTATGGCTTTTTTCTACTTGAGCAGCTTTAAAATGGTAAACCTTTTGTAGGCTTAATGTACGAAATGTGAAGGTATGTGTAAAACAAACAAACAAAAAAAACAGTTATAAACCTCAGATCCTGTGTTCATAGATGTGGTGTATTTGCAGGCCTTGGGAAACGCCAGCAGGGTAATTCCATGTCGCAACCAAATTCACTGCATTTTTCAGTCCATCAAACACTATCTTGGATCTACTCTCCTTCCTGTAGAATGTCCCCCAAAAAGGTATTAAAAATTCAAGTTTGCTAAATTCATTATTCATTTTAGAAAGGGCCAACATGACCTGTAGTGGCAGTGGTGGAAAAATTAGCACATCATTCACTTACCTGAATTGAGGGTATTGCTGAGAATACTTCCTCTGTTCTTCAGTACCTGAAGTATTGCAACACAGCCTAACCTACCCACAGGAAGATTTAACAAAGCGTTTTAATTCTGGCATTACTGTGAAACAACTATATATAACCATCTCTTTTGGAAAACCATTCTTTATGTGGACACTTTTTTCCCCCTTTAAAAATGTGTCCTTGGGGGGGGAGGGGGAAAGCAGCCCATTTTGCAAAAATAAAACTGTATAAGCCCTTTTTATAGCCTATGTGCTAAACTTCCCTGCAAAGTCTTCCTCCCCTACAAACTCTGCCTGCAGATGAAGTGTTTTAACCTTGCCCTCTTAATTTATTCTACATTCTAATTTTCAATAAACAGATGCCGCCTCTTTTTGCGCTTGTTTTCACATTGTTCCACATTCTGCCTGTGTTGTTTCTGCATGTGTGAATATTCAATTATCTATTTCTCCATGATTCTGCAACTGATGTACTCAATGTCTGTACAGGTTTGGGGGAGGGTAACCGGGGAAGGCAAAACTTAGAGGAAACAGAGTTACAGAAGTTAGAGCTATTCTGAGAGTCAGGTACTTTCCCTGAAAGCCGCCAAGTTAAGAAGAAAATCACAAGCTATAACTAGAAATGCAAGGATTACAAAACCACTAGTCCACAGAAGCAGATTTGCTTCATAACGTTTAAGTATTTCTTTGGTCAGTGCTTGGGTGTGAGATGCCCCATAGAGACCAAAGGGGCAGGAGAAGCTGTTGCTGCTGCTGCTTCTGGAAATGGTGTCTTTTTTTGGAGAAAAAGCACAAAGGAGCTGATTGCCCTTGTGGTTATGTATAGCTAAGAAGAGCTGATAACATATCTTAGGACTGAAAACCAAAGTATGCTGTATAAAGGATGAAATATTGCTCTTTATGGGAATGGCCCACAAAAGGCGATCACAGGACAGCCGTGAAAGTACAAAGGCTCTTCCATAGAGCTCTCAAGACCTTGTGGCCCAAAAGCCTCGTCACAGTTGTGAGGAGTTTTAATCTGTAAACCTAAAGGAAATGCACAGAACTCGCCAGTGAATAGCTGCTGCTGCATTATCCACTTGTGAGGATACCTCTTTCCTGAAGCACCGGCGAGTTCTTACAGGTGCAGCCTGCGCCGTTACCTCGCACGCTCCCAGCCGGGAACCCGAGTGACCGCTGTCAGCAGCCGCGCTCACGCTGGGCTGATCTGACTGGAGCAACAGAACCATCACGCGTGGAAATACTTTTATTACGGACAGCTTTAAGGCTCTGTGGAAAAACTGAGCTAAACTGCGTTTCAGAGGTACGTACCAAAGCTGGTAGGCCGGGCAGGGACAAAAGTTGGGCTCAGAGGTTTATGTTTGCCAAAAATGGTGCAAAATTTAGAATAGCAGAGGCGGATCTGGAGCTCGCACACAGGAGCCCGCCACTGGTGCCGGTTCAGAAGCCAGGGACACTAAAATAGATGGCAGAGCGAGGACATGGCGATTCAGCCGCTTCGGCTCCCGGGGCTACCTTTGCCAGCAGCGCCCCTGCCCAGCTTTGCCACCCCCTGCTCCTCCTCAGCAGAGACCCCTCAGCCGGGCGGCGCCACGCCTGGCGCCAGCGTGCTCTCTGCCTGCTCTTGCATCAACACCAGTCTCCTTTCTTACCTGGCAATAAACGACCGGCTTTTGCTCACCTGGCAAGGGCTATGTGGCATTTTCTGACTTCAGGTGCAGCAAAGCACCCCCATCTGTCCTGCAAGAAATGCAAAATACACAGATAGCAAAGTGTGGCACAAAAATTTAGGAGCTCAGAGGTCGCCATGAAAGACTTCTCTGTAATCACTGGAGCCTGATGATGAAGAGCCAGAGCAGAATCCTGACACTAATAGGAGCATATGTGTTGTCCTGAGGCTCTGTGGCTGTGGTACCCTTAACTAATTTAATGCAACTGCACAGCTGTTTAAAAGTGCTATTCACCAGTACAGACAATTGGCGATAACAACCGGAACAGTAAAAGTGTCAAAAGGCCAGAACAAACATGATAAATAACTTTCTTGCCATACATTCCTGCCTTTCAGTCCTTGAACCAAGAGGCACATGCTGCTTTGCATAAGGAACCTGCCCCCCTCCGCTCCTCACACCCGGGCTGCTGTCGCAGCGTGCTGCGCCGCTCAATAGCCGGCCAGATCCACCGTAATCCCTCGCTCTCCAGAAGGAGCGGTTTAGAAATGATTTCATAGCTACAGCTGTGGTAAGCTATGAGGCCTAGGAATAAAAGCCTCGCAACTAAGCTCAGACATACAAAACATACTTTGCACTATTGTCTGGAAGCGCACTGGGCTTTACAAAGGCTAAGAAATTAATTCTCCCACCACCTGGGAAATAGCAAGTACATGTCAGTTCTGCACCCGGAGCAAAAGCTGATCACTCACCTGGTGTGGATGTGGCTCAAAGCCCCAAGGATCTCTACACACACGTTTTAATGCTGTAGCCACCCTGCTCTTGAAAACAAGACCTGTCAATCTTTGCGTCCCTGCAAGTCACACAGAAGCAGAACTTCGAATACTTGCCAGGCTTGGGCCCTGCAGCCCACGCAGAGCAGCAGTCAGATTTTTAATGTGTAAATGGCCTCTTAGGAGAGCTGGCCCTTGCATGCTGACTTCCAAGAGATCAAAGGAATTTAAAAAAAAAAAAAAAAATCCTGATGCACAGCCTATACAGCTCCCATGCAGTTAAAGAAAAGTACTGCCTGGCTGTAGGCTTGCTTTGTGTGCAGAAGGAGACATTGTTAGCACTCAAGTCAGTGTGCCAGGAGAAGACGGTGCAGCTGCAGCTCTGCTCTGTGCAACAAGAGTGAGAAAGCTCAGCAAAAAAAAACCACCCCACAAAACTTTCTAACTTGAAAATTACTGGAAAAGGAAAGAGGATGTTCCCTGAGTACGCTGCCCAGCTGGAGACGGAAATGGTGATGGAGTTCACCCCCCTGTATCACCAACCAGACCCTTCAAAGTTAAAAGCTGCATTTGATTTGGCAACACTGCTCACTGGACGAAGCCAAACCCGTTCCCGTCCAGCAAGCGCAGGCTATCGCTGCGGCATGTTCTGCACGTGGCATTTGCATGAGTGGCAGGCGTTAGGTCTGCTCAGATAGCACGGTGGCAGGGAACAGATCAGTAGGTAAAGCAGAGAAGTGCAGAGTACCCATAAATCATAAATAGAGAAAGATTTAATTACATGCTTGGTTAATATTTACAAACATTGAAGTTGTTGTTAGATATGTAAATAAAAGACGGAAATAAGAGACAGGGGCTGCAGTAGCCAAGCAAAGCCAAAATATAAAAGGTTAGGGTATTTATTGTGAACCGGCATATGCCTGGAGTATGGAACGGAGAGACACCATATAAACTGAAAGAATAAATAAATAAATATTGACATTGTTCTACACCTGTTTAGCCTCTGGAGACCAGTGATTTGTGGGACCATATGTTGGACAAAATGAGACTGTTCCTTGATAATTGTAAATGTGGTGACCCCTTGCAAACTGGATATTAAAAATATTAAGTAAATGGCACATTTTAATTATACAGTAAAGAGGCTGTTCTCCACCATTAAAAGACTGCAGCTGTCAGGAGGAATTGATCATATGACACAAGGTAACATTTATTTGATAGTAGACCTTGGTAAATGACATCCTAAATGATCTTTAGATTCTCAGACAAACACATTCAGTTCAGACTGGGGTTTAAACACGATGCTTCGGTGTCTTTGTCTTCCAGCTGAGACAATTTTCATCTGCTCCTCCTATACTATAGGGCTTGTTTGGTTTTTATTTTTGTTTTAATCTGCTTTGCGGTATTTAAATTTCAGATGAAGTAGTATTAAATGAGAAACTGTAAACGATGGAGTTTGGAATTGGAAGTCAACACATTTGTTATTCTTTTTGCCAAAGGTATCAAGTAAGTTGCATAATTACCATAGTATTATATCATCTTTGTCAACAGAAGCACAGCTTTCTATCAGCTTTGAGAGTGCCATTGGTGAACAACTGAACGTGCAGACTCCAAAGAGCAGCAGCCGAGGAGGAGCGGAGAGCGTTCACAATGCCTTATGAAGTTGCATAAGGAAACGAAGTAGAGACAGGTAGCAAGTAGTCTCCAGCAGAAATGCCAAACGTTCTCACGTTTATGCTTCTACATCTGAGGCAGAGGAGAGGAACCACAGACAGTTTTTGTAGCTTCCTTCCTGCCTTTTGTGATCCAACTTTAAGACAAATGTATGATGGTAAAGCAGCAGCGCATGTGGATTAATCCTTTTCACTGATCCAGAGGAACCCTTCCATACACAGGTTTGATTTTTTTTTTCTCCCTCCACTGCTGATCTTAAGAAGCGCACGCTTTGTGTCTCACATTGCGCCGATCCTGTGGTGAGGCACTTGCAGAGTCTGAAGGTTGGGGCACGTGAAATAAGGAGCTGGAAGAAAGCACGCTGCTATTCCATTGGAAGCGAAGGGGAGCGTAGGCCCATAGAACACTTCTTCCTTCCCTTCCTTGCTAACGTCCAGCACCTGCAGGTCAAAGCATACAAAATATTTCAGGGATCACAAAAGAAAGCTGAAACAAATTTGCTGGCACACACCCCACGTATGTACTATTAATCCCAGCAGAAAGGTAATTTCAGATCACTTTTAGGTGGTATTTATGGATCTGGTGATTTATGGCTGTCCTCATCACCCGAATCCTATCCTAGCTCAGGCACTCAGGAGCAGACGGTGACATTGGACCCCGCTTCCTGGCAGCAGAACGTGCAACCATGCAAGGAGGGTACTCTGCACAGAAGTGCTACTGTTACCACAAAGCAGGAATCATCAGCTTGGTGGTACGCAGGGAGCAAGGGAGCTCTACCGAAGTTAGAAAGACCAAATAAATGAATGACTTGAAGAAAATGAAGGTATATGGAAGAAGTGGATGGGTTTTTTTTTTTCCTTCCAAAGGAAAGCGCAGCCTCATATTTGCTGAATTTGAAGATAAAAGGGCTAGGTTTACTGGTTAAAGCCAGGCACGCTGCCAACAACGGAGAAGGGGCAGCACACACAGCTCTGCCAAAGCACTCATTATCCTTCTTTTCCCTTTAATGCAGGGACTGTCTCGGGCAGGCTGCCAGCTCACAACCAGTTTGGGGATGTGGACAAATGTCCATTTAAGAAAGCAAGATCCCAGGATCATTTCCACTTGTCACTAAGCAGTATTTAAACCCAGGTGCAATACTGCAAAGTACCTGTGGATTATAAATGAGCATGTTGGTGGGGTATAGCCACCGCCTTGGTATTGTGCTGTTACTCCATCTGAAGCACTGTATGTCAGCTAGCGAAGCCAGTTTGAATGAATTTTTCCAATAAAAATTGTTAGGTACGGTATCCAACAATTTAGTAAAACAAAATTATACTATGACCAGAACATGGTTTTATCTCCTTATCTTGCATGATCTATTCTTTACAAACTCATGCTAATAAGTGTTCATTGTAAGACCAGCAGCTCGACATGTAATGCATTCCTTTCTTATGCTAACTCTAATTTCTAGCCTTATGGGACAGTTTAGAGGTGAAATTCTAAAATCCTTAGTTGGAAGCTAATGAAAATGTTGTTTATCAGCAAAAGTGCAGAAACTGAGATGTAAACAAGAGTTTCTGTCTCTAACGGCCCAGCGGGTCACAAAAGTGATGGCTGTGATGCAGATTTGCTTCACTCAGAAAAATGCAGGAGGATAAGAATTCCTAATTTCTATATGGGAATATCTGAAAGCCCTGGATCTGCAGGTAAGCTGCTCTTACACAAGATGAGACAGCAGAAGGGTTTGTTGGACAACCTATTGCCTACAGCAGGGATCAAAAAACTCCCGTTCAAGATTGAAGCAGTAAGCGCTAGGGCAGGTTGCAGGCTGACTGAACTTTGTCAAAGAACAACTCGTTAACTCTGGCTGCTCTTCAGAAAGACAACTTGGAGAGGGGAGGAAAAAAAAAATTGCGAGATGGGCTGAAAAATTGTTAGCTCATGCCCCATCATCTATTTCTGCAACCCGTTTAATTTTGAACTTGATTGTGTAACCTGAGAATATATACCCACTATTTTACCCAAACCTTGCCGAAGGAGAGACTCCTCAACCCTGTTTTACTAGAATATCTTAGAGTAATTGGATCTAATGGCTCATCTGGAAATATTTTTAATATCCACAGTATTTCCTCTCTGTGTTTATGCAGGTTCAGTGGCTGCATAAGAAACATCCTTAATCTCTCCACTTCACATGCATTTTCCTTTTTGAATAACCTCTGTGCAAAATGTATCCTTGCAAAATTATTGGAAAAGACTTTAAAAGAAACCTAAATCACTCACCTGGATACATGCCAAAGGCTCATTTGTCCAAATCGAATAGCCGCCAACTAAATATATTCTACCATTGTGGACGGCAACTCCAGACTCATTTTGACCTAAAGGAAAAAAGGGAATAGAAACCACTTTCAGTGTTTAATTAACCCTTTTAACACTGAACGTTGGAGTTCTGTAATACGATGAAAATGCACCTGGCAGTAATTTGACTGTTTCAGAATTCACAATGTGCAACAGCAAAGGTGAAGTGCGAGGGCTGTTCTTTGCTCTCCACAGGAGCCCCATACGGTGCTGTCTGGTGAGATAACCCGGATGAGCAATAAACTGAGGCTGTGCCGGGGACCATCTGCCGTCTCCTCAATGGCACAGGTTTTTGTATGCCTGTATTTCATAGGTGACAGGCAAGCTCCCCACCTGCCTCTCAGCTACTATCACACATGCACATCCAGACAGACACGTAGGCCGAGAGAACTGAACGCCCCTCCCGTTCTGCCCACACCTGTTCATCCCCCTGTTCCTCCAGGTACAAGTATGGGGAATGTTGCAGAAGCTGCTGTGCAAGCTCATTCCCATAGCAACGGTCTCCTGAAAAAGTTTGGAAGTTTTGAAGGATAAATACAGCCTTAAAAAAAAAAAAAAAAAAAAAAAAAATCTGCACTACACAGTGCAACAGGCACATTTACCACCAGCTGCAGAGACGCAAAGAAAGGCTTAAATGGCTCTTCAAGGTGCAGGTTGTGGAAACAACCCACCAGGTCATAGCTGAGGAGAGGCTACTATCTCACAGCATTTAGTAGTATATAACTCCAGAACAGGGCTGCCTGCAGTGCCAGCACTTTTGCAGTTGCAAATCAGATTATATCCTTCTCAAAGGCTCTCAATTCCTTCAGATAATAAAATAATTAAATAGAAAGCAATAGGGATATGAAAAACTAGTTCTGTGTGACAGTCTGTTACTCTTCCTTTTTAATCCATGCCTCTCTCCTCAATGTCCATGAAGTACTCTGATGACTTGGCTCAGAAACCAAGCAACCCTTCTCCAGATCCCAGAAATTAAGAAACCCAATGCAGTATCTTAAAGAATAAAGTTGCCACTAGAGCAGCTTTTAAACCTACCAGGAGGAAAATGACATAAGGTACTGTCTTATTTGTCAGACATTCACTTCTCTGACACAGTGTTTCTAGCTGTCCTGAGCTTCTCGCTAAGTTTCTACACCCTTTGTATCCTTTTCAGTGGTAGATCCCAGAAATGAATGCAACGCCAAATGGAAAAGGATGAAAAGTGAGGTAGCCTCAGTTCTAGGACTCCTATAGCAGTCTATTCTGAAACTGTTTGGCAACCAGTACTGTTACTAATTGAGCTCCAACTCTGCTGCACAAGAGAATGGCCCCAACATTAATCCTGTCCTGGAAATGCATCCTCTTCTGCAAAGCTGCTGGTGGTGCTACTGTGAGAATGTGTCACTTGCCTGTCTCTCCCAAGGATTTGAGGGAGTAGTACATCTGGGAATCGTATTAAGTGGTGGTGAAATTTGGTGGACTGGGTGGCAGGGACAGTGAGTTGCAGTGCTTTGCAAATTGCTACTGTAACAGTTCCTCCTAATGACGGTCAAGAGGAACTTTACAGATCCATAGCTAACCGCGATACTCAAGTCATCCCTGACTTGACAGAATTCCAACAAAGACAACTCCTTTTGGGTAATTTGTTAAGAAGATATTGCTTAGAAATAAGTGATGGTTAATGGAGTTCAATGTTCTATAATGCCAGCAGGAAGCACTACAAAATGATACCATGGTAGAGATGGATCTGCCTGTTGAACACTCAAACAGGAAGCTAAATCTATCAGTGCAGGCAAGTTTTTGGAGAATCAAAAATAAGTACCAGTCACACTACAACAAACAATTTTTGATTGCTTAACTACATTTATGTGCACATTCTTAAAAATTTATCCTAAATGTCCTAAGACAAATGTTTTGTAGAACACTGAATGCCAGAACAGTGATCAAAAGTGTCTTGTTGGCCAACGATGACCCCTAAATCAGAGGCAACTGAGGCGAAGTCATGGAGTTCCACATACTAAAGGCATCTAAAGGGAAAAGAATTGGTGTTTTATTCTAACAGTAGCAAGTTTCCTCTTTTGGTGCACAATACTCACCTGTCAACATGTTGAAGCTGCAACGTGTCCACTGGTCAGCATCTATGCTGTAGGAGTCTATGTGCCGAACCAGGATCCGATCGTTGTTGTAGTCCAGATCATTCCCACCTAACACGTAAAGTTTCCTTTGAACAGCAGCCATGGAGTGATACACTCTCCTCTGCAACATCGGACTACGGCTTAACCACTTATTCTGGAAAGGAAAAGAGAACTTGTCTCAGCACTGCTCAAAGACGTACCTATATTAGTAGTACAATAATAGTAGCATGTTAGTGGTGTTCTCCTTACCCTTGCCCAGAAATCACAAGTGTATATACTTGTGTTGTTCGTATGTTAAACACGCATGTTGGCTGTAACACTGACTAGATGTACTGGACTTTCAACACATGGTTTACAGTTCTCACATTTAAATTCATTAATTTCATAGTATTTCTTGCTCTGTATTTTTCCTGTTTAGCTCATCAGGTTTCAAAGCTTTTTTTCTTCTTTATAATTCAGTAGCAAATCCTCCTTAAGCAAGACGATTAGATGTCTCCTTTGTATACAGCGCTAAAGTTATCTGTACCAACTACCTCTGTTACGAGAGAAGAGAGATTCTTCTACCTTTCGTTATTCAGAAGCTCATTTGATCTTATCCTTGGGGAATGAAGCAACAGGGAAAAATAATTTCCTAAAGAATCTTCTCAAATGATTCATGTATTTGGTTTAATGCTAACCCTTTATTTGTGAGCACTTACAAAGTAACATCTTTTTTATAAATTTTTCTTCCTGGTTAACAGCATTCAAGAATTCTACCAGTTCATCAGGGGAGGGGCAAGAGGACATGGAAGAAGAGAGATTAAAGCACAGTATTTTAAAACTAAGAAAACAATTGCTCCCGCTATGCTTACCAAATCAAACAACCTGGCAATGCACGAGATTAATTTATTTAAGTGGAGGAAGTTAAAATCCGTGAGGAAATTCTTTGCGTTACATGCGTTACCGCTTGCGGTAACTCAAGAGCCTCTAATACTACTGCCTTTTAACCTCCACAATATATAGCTATACATTTCAGTGGGTAATAGTTGAATATTAGGCATTAATGTTTGCATTAGTAGTCCAGTCTCTTAACACCAGACTATAGACACCATCTGCTTTGCAAAGCCTGCCTGCATCCCCTGATTATATCTTTAGCTTCCTCCACTGCAGTGCCTGCCAGGTGAGCTGCAAAGCACTGCAAAGGCAGAGAAACAGAGGGGCCTGGTGGGGTCATTTCTAATAAGCCAGCGTGTGAATACTAATCAGTGGTGGGGAAGCAGAGGTCACCCCAGCCGGCTTGTTGGCAGGTAGCTGTGTGCTCTGTGGCAGATGGCAGGCATTATCGACTCGCCACAAAGGCCTCGCACAGAAGCAAGCGCTGGTGCTGAATGATAGAGTTATTGAGATTCTGTGCGAGATGCAAGCAGATGTGATGGTTTCCAGTACCCACCGTAAACAATATGCCAGCAGAATTTTTAAAAAGAGCTTGTGTGTACAAACACGAAGCGGACCTCATTTGAAGAATGCGAGCGCACACTTCCTCTGTAACTCTTTGCACGCTGGGCCAGGTTTCTCGCCGTCGGCACGGCACGCTGAAGTAGCCCTGCCACCGGTATTTTGGGGTACAACTTTCATGTCAGCAAGTAAAGAATCAAAGCGAAAGACACACGATAGAGAAACAGTATCTAAATAAGAGTGTCCCCCTCATAAGCAAAATAAGATTGCTGCCTGTAGCGACTACTTGGATTTAGGACTGAATCAGGATTTGTACAATCGATGCATAAAACTGCACCTCGGAAAGAAAGAGGCGGGTGTGTCATTGCCTGCTTTCTGCTTCAGGACATGTATGTGCTGTGCTTTAAAAAGTCAGTGGGAACCACATAGAAGTATCTCCTGGCATAACTGGGTTCCAAATACAGCAATCACAGCCCCTATCCTACAATCAGGAAAGTCAATAGTCTTCCACACGGGTGTAAATCAGGCTATGCAACTCTGATTGCAAGCTTAGGACTTTTAATTCCTAACACAAGCAAGAGGGCATAACCGTGCCCTAACCCTCTGAAATGGTTACTGAGCCATGCTAACCTAATCAAAACACATACATAATGTATGAAATAATCCCTAAAGATATTTTGGGTGCTTGGGTAATGAAATGATAGGCACCCTTGCAGCCAGCAGAATAAGTCACGGCCAGGTAGTATAGTTCTGAAAGTATGCAGAAAGCAAAAAGCCCATATATGCAATTCAAAGCAGAAATGCCAATGACAAGGAGCAGTTTTGTGATACTGACTTTGAGTATACATTGCCCTGGGCTGCTGGATTACAAAAAAAAAAAAAATCAACAAGCAAAATAAATACTGATAAATACAGGGGATTTAAAGCACATTTCTGTATTTAATCTAAATGTTTCTAACACCTACAGGCGTAAAAGTATAATAAAAAGTCAGGGTCTCCATTGCTCTGTTAAACTCACACATCAGTACAAAGTGAATTTAAAACACCACTAATTCAAATGGTCAGCATTTTTAGCCTTACAAAATCATTGCATGCATTTGCTAAGAGACCTGCTTGAAGTAAAACATATGAGAAAAACACATACAACACAGACACCTACCTGCTTAGGATCATAGACCATGAGCCTGTTTTGATACTGTGCAGTATTTGTTACTCCTCCTATGAAAGAGTTTATACAGGTTACATTTTTTTTGTATAAGCAAAACCAGGACCAAGATCAGGTACAGTAAAATAACCAATTCTAGGGTTCATTTGCAGACGTAATTGCATTGCATACCACCACTTACGCTTACACTCCACTGCACTTTTTAATCTGGTTACAAGGTAACAAGTAGCACATTTGTCAAACATCTAGAAACACAAAATAGCAACAAACACCCCCCACACACACACACACACACACACTTCCTTTGTAAAGCTAATTCTATGGGCTAAAACTGAGATAAAAGTTGATCTGTTTATAAATGACTGTGCATTCAGCCATCATCAAGACATGAAGATAAAACCCGTCCCTGTTCCAAGGAGCATGCGGTGTGTGACACGGTTTAAAGGAGGAGGTGAGCTTGCATCAGAAAGAAGGAAGAGGTCAGAGAGTTTCCTGCCTAAACAGGAGGGTGATGTGGGACACCACTGCCAGCTGGAAAGCATAGCGCAACCCTGTGCAACTGCACTCACCTACATATTTGAAGGAAATTCTGTATTTAGTCTGTATTACGGAGAGAACATCTCCTGGTTTAGCTGTTGACTTATGTTGCGAGGTTCCTCCACAGTGACCAGAAACAACGCCACCATTTAGCACACGTACCTTTCAATAATGTTTGGAAAGCAAGGTATAAAGCACCTCAGAAAAGCCCAGAATAGAGCCTGACCCAGGTAGATTCCACAAACCAACTATTTACCTCAATACAGTATATGTTTAATCCTTGATCATCCTGTACTCTATTGGTTTTAAGTGGCAAATCTCACTGAGTAAACTGGTGGAAAAATTCTGCAGTCTCGCTGTAATCTTACCAGCATAAACATGTTCTTGAGTGTGCTCAAGCCTCCTGGGGATGTGGTGTCACCACCCTGGGCCCATGGGAAGATAGGACCAGAAATAATCATAGACTCATAGAATGGTTTAGGTTGGAAAAGACCTTTAAGATCATCCAGTCCAACAATTAATGCCTGCAAGCTGCACCTCACCTTTCATTCTACCAGAAGGTCTGGACTTTCTGGGCTCACCAGTGGCCACACACCAGTGAAACTCATATTGACAAAATTTTTATATTACAGTTTTAACAGCATGTGCCAATGATGGACAAAATCCACAGCAACAAGAGGAAGGAATTTCATCTGTCATTACATTTGTTTATGCTTTGCTTTTTGCGAGGACATCCCCTGTTTCAGACAGAGCAGCTGCAGAGCTGCTTTCCTTCCTGCTGGCTGGGCTATGGCCCAGTCCTACTAAGGCCATCGGGTTTTTTTTCTTTTATCCCCAACCTTATCTTAACACACCTCTGCACTGGGGAATCCTCATTTTGCCAGCCTCCAGCTGCACCTAGCACAGCATTTTGGTTCAGAGCCATACTGTGATTTTGAAGCGCCTCCCCCACCTCTCACGCGTCATTTCAGGCTGTAGGGTGGTACTGGTGTGCATTCAAGTTAAACCAGGATCTCCGCTCCAGATGTGCACCAGTTGTGCTCCAGTTCTTAATAGAGGCATAATGGTGTGAAATAGTAACTGGTCTTTCGGGTGGTTTTGTACCAGCTGAGTGCTGGGAATGTTTGGTCCAGAGGACCAGAATAAATCTAGTCCAAAGCAAAAAATGTGAACTGTACATGGAGTAGATATAGAGAACTGGGCACCAAGTTTTTGTCTGCTGATCTGCTCCTACTGGGCTTAGCTACTTGCTAACATAGACGTACCCTCCGATCACTTCAAAAAACTTGAGTGAGGCCAAGAATCTGATCAATGGATAGCAGAAACTATGGACAAATCTATTCAAGAATCTTGTCTTCAACCGCAGTAGCAGGGAGGAATAACCCTGTTATTTGGGTGCATCTCTGCAAGCGCCGGCCTGTACTGGGGCCCCTACACGTGGACGGCGGCACAAGCTCCCAGCTTAGAGGCACTTACAGGCTACGAGACAGCTGAGACGAGATGTAGCCTTTCCAAAGTGTTTCCGTCACACTATGCCACACACTGCCCATCACAGCACCTGTGAAGTACACATGCAAGAACAGGCATTGGAAAGCAATGACTGTTCCCATTTCTAATCTCACAATCTGTTATTTGTCTCTACGCTGTTGTGCAGCCTTCACAGTGTTAGTGGCCGTCAGCCACATGCACAAAACAATCTTTTCTAATATCCGTTTTGTAATTTCATTTTCTTTTACATAGTTATTTTCACTCCTAGCGTAATGTTTAAAAATGAGGTGTCAGATTAGTATTTTGAGAAATAAAAATCATAGTTATTTGGATGATTACCTCCAGAATGTTAAACTACAGGAGAGGCGTTGGAAATACAACGCTGGGGTTTGTATTTCCATTCAGAAAGGACACCTTAAATTTGGGGGGAAGATGTGGAAGAAGAAGAGGAAGAAGGGGGTTGCTTCCTCATAAAATAATGAAATAATCCAATAAGCAAAATTATTTGCCTCTCTTCACAAAGAGCCCCTCATATCAAGTACACAGCTTACATTTTTTTCCCCTGCAATATTGCTCATCTGTGGTGTTTTATCATTACA